CCCGCTGCTGAGCGACTTCGAGTTCCCGCCGTTTGATGTCGTGGAGGCGAGGCACGTGCGGCCGGCGATACGGGAGCTGCTGAGGAGACTTGTAGGGTTTTGGATTGGGTAAATCTTGCAAAAACTCCTAAAGTTTGGCGTGATTTGTGTAAAGCCCCTGAACTTTGAAAATTAGGAGGGAAAAAATAACCCTACAATTAAGGAGTTACACAAAATTCTGAACTTTGGGGACTGTTCGTTTCGCAAAAAAAATTGGAAAATCAAAGAATAGGAAACCTATTTCCTATAATAATTGTTTTGAGGTTGTTTGGTTGGCTTAAAAAAGAAGAAAACTATAGAATAGGAGATGAGATGAGATGGGTTGTCACCTTATTTTGAGGTTGTTTGGTTGGTTAAAAAAATAAGGAAATGAATTGGAAGTATATTATTGGATGATGTTTTGAGGTTGTTTGTGTTTGGTTTATTTTTAAAAATAAGAAAATAGATGAGATGAGATGAGTTGGAGGTATATTATTGGATGATGTGACACATACTTAAGGAAATCAAATTTTTTTTTTGAGGAAATTGATGGAAATGAAGGTTTAATGAGATGAGATGGGTTGTCACAAAATATTATTGGATGATGTGTGTGATTTTTAAAAATGAGATGTGATGAGTTGGATGATGTGACATATTTTTTGTATTTGATTTATTTTTAAATGTAAGAAATGAGATGAAATGAGATGAGTTGGAGGATAAAAATATTATTTTATTGGATGTTGTGGGTGAGTTTTAGGATGGAAATGGATAAAAATATTATTTTATTGGTTTACTTGTACCGATTTTCTTTTCTTGGTTTTTAGGAAACCAACCAAACGGCCCCTTGGAATAGATGAAAATGGAAACAATTTTTTTTTTGCGTGGGACTTTTTTTTAAGGCTTACTTGCACTCTAACACCCCAAACTTCACTATTCTTTAAGTTTGATACCCTACTTTGACAATTTGATACCCCCAGAGTTTTTAAATTGATTTTTATTTGACAATGATACCCTAAAGCCCTAACTTTGTTCCCTAAACTCAAGAAAACTGAAATTTCTCATCCACTTTTTCTAAGTCGACATTCTTGAACAAAATTAATCTTTATTTTTTTGCTGGGTATGAAATTATCAAACTTACAAGAAGGTATCAGAGTTAGAAGAAGGTGAAACTCTGGGTATTTAAGTGCAAACAACCCTTTAAAATAAAGTGTTTCAGTTTGTGTAACTTTTCGGAAGTTCAGGACCTTTTGTTTGGGGGGGCGGTGGCTCCTATTCTCAAAGTTCAGGGAGGTTTGCCCATACCCCAAATGGGTGAGGAGGATTTTGGAAAAATTTACAAATTGATTGTTTTGGATTGGGGTGGGTTATGGTTTTGGCGACGGTTTATTGGTTTTTGTGGATAGGAACGGATTTGATGAGCCTGAGAGGACGGTGGAGCCGACGTGGCAAAGCTGTGGAGCCGTTGGAAAGATAGTGGATAGGTGGTGTGGTTTGGGAGCCATAAACCATTTGAAGATGGTGAAGGATTCAGCTGAGCTTAGGATCGCGATTGAAGAAGTTCAGGTTTGGATTTAATATTAAAGTTAAGAGGCTGTTTAGTTAAGAGGGAATAGAGTAAATAGTGCAGTTAGATTTAAATTTCTAAACATTCAGTTGGATACATTGTAATCGTAATTAGGAAATGTAAGTGAAGTTACAAAATTGCAACAAATGTTGTAGCCGATTCAGTTGTAGCAAATGCTGCGGATCCCTAAACCGAAACTAAAAATATAAAAGGTAGCATCACCTCATAAGGGGGGAAAAACTTTCCTGATTCCATGTGCTCTGACACTTTTACATGTCGTATAATGTGAGATAGTTTAATGTATCAGATCAATGCTAGTGTAAGCTTGCTGATTAGACCATTGATTAGTGCTAAATGAATCTGACTCTTATCTTGATCGTTCCATCTTTCCTTTTTCTATTTCACTGTTTTTCCACCATTATTTTAGTGGGTCCTTTACGCTAATGTTGTTATTAAACCCAACTTCTAACTGCACTATTCTTTGACATTTTGAATCTTTCTATTGTCTTGTAAGGTCAGTGCCTATACGAGCACAATCCAAAGCTTAAACTGTTCTTGAAGCCAAATATATACATCTTAATTAAAAAGAATGAAATCTTTACACAAAATTTCCATGTTCGTTGTTCAATGGAGGCATCTAATTTCCATGTCCTCTATCCTTCAGCAATTTATGTCTGTTTCTTGGGTCAATTCATTGGTGTATTCTTTAATCATATACATTTTTAAAATCTAAGTTGGCAGAGCTCTGTTATTGGACAGTTAGGTAATGATACATGTGCCGAATCTATTTAAAATCTCTATGCTAATTTTCATGTATACTCTTACGAGGCGCATACACTTCTTTATTTCAGCCAAAAGTTAGTTTCTGCTACTTAGGTTCCAGCATCTTATAGCAGATTATTCATTATTGTATGTGTAGGAGTAGGGGAGTTCATGGGTCTGTCAGGTGGTATTAAATGACGTTCACAGCCATGCTTATTGACATCTATACCTGACCTCATACTCGACAGATTGGCAGGAAAGGGAAAGTTCATTCTGATTTTAAATATACATACCTGCACGCAGCCACCCACCCACACGCTTGCTTGCTTGAAAAAGCATTTAATTTAAAATTTACTGGACGCTCAAATAATTACAAATGAGAAGTAAACCTTGCATCATTAGACAAGAATCAAGATTGTGTTACAAATGAAAATTGTCCCTATTATGCATATAAACTGCTTCGGTCAGGTTGGGTGGTTGTGCATGTGAATCCAAGGTGGGTGGGTATTGGTATGTTTAAATTGGTTCTCAATAAAAGATCACTTCCAAACTGTTTTTACATCTTTCTGAAACCAATACGAATAGGTTCAGGTAGGTTTCACAAGCCAAAAGTCTTGTATCTTACGGGGTGGGTTTGTGCATGTTCCAGAACAAACCCAACCTAGGAAACACCACAAGTATAAAAAATTGAATGCAAAATATAATTGAAAATCTTTACTTTGACAGTCTCCTGCTTCACACCATATCATTGTATCTTTAGGAATGGGATACTGGAAGAAGTATTATCCTATTACATTTTCGATGTTTAGGTGGAACCACAATGATCTGAAGAGAGATGTGTTGTCTATTTCAAGCTACTGCTAATAGGAAATTGCTTTCTTTTGGATGATTAGTGGAGTTATTCGCTAGATTCTCTTTGCAATGTTTTTGTGAGGTCTTGTTTCAATTTGCTTCTTCATTTTACTCTAACACTAGCACAAATTCTCTTTTAAACAGCCGGAGAAGGTTAAATTTCAGCTTAGATTGGGACAAAGTAAGCCCATCTATAATGCATTCAAATCTATTCAAGATTCTCCATTTTGGTCAAACCTTACTGAACCTCGTAAACGCATTGTAGAAGGTAACTTCATTATTCCTTTGGCCCCTTCAAGCATTGGTCCAATGATGTTTTTCTGGTGTTTTGCATGATTTTATTGAATTCATGTCTTGTTTTAGGAAAATACATGTTTCTAGGTTTCCCGTGTAGCGAAAAATTATATGTTCTAAATTTTGTTCTTTTAGTATCAAAGTAAAAGAAACTGTTGATGACTAATTCAGAGCATTCAGATTATATAATTTGTCAAGGATAAATTCTTGTAAGGGTGTAGTTTTCTGTAAGCGTTCAAATTGAGTAGGGATAAGTTTACCATGGTTAAATGTTAATGCAAATCTGTTGTTTACGCTACTCCCTAAGCTCCTCTTTTTGTTTTATTCCTTAGTGAAAAAAAGATTAAGTCGGATTATATAGTCATATCGTTTATAAAATGTCATATAAGCATCTGAATACTGACAATTTAACATGACATAGCTATAAACAATTCACCAGTTGGCAGAGTGTGTGGTTATGTTGGAGAGGAATGTGAATAAAAGTACTAAGATTTATGCTTAAAGATTTGTGGTGAGTCCTTCAAATAACGGGAAGCGTCTGGAATCGGAGTGGGATACAAGGTGTCTCCAGCAAGAACTTCGAGAATATTTCTTGGTTTTCAACAGGAGCAGGCCTAGTACTTAGTTATAATAAGCATCTCATTATGTTCGAAACATGCAAGCTGACTCAGGTTAATTGAGCTGTTAAGTATATGATGTAGGAGGTATATTTTTCTTATACTAGGGTGGATGCACGTACATTGAGCGTGGTTGAATATCATTATTATTTCTTTTTGGTCTATTTCTTTAACTCGGTTGTGAAATATTTTTTTATTACATGTGAAAAGTAAAATGCTTTATTATCTATATAATTATATAGTAAATCAAAATTTATTAAAATTACCATGATCAAAGTCAGAATTACATGGTCAATTCAAGTATAATTTACAATAAATACTACATGAAGGTCAAAATCCTTTTATGAAAAACTATAATTTTATGCAAATAATTAGTTTCTCATCGCAATCCTATGCTGTCATCTGATAATTTGCACAAATTCACAGTATAATATCCTAAATTTTATACCCTACACAATTTAAATAATCTAACAATTTCCCCTTGAATGTGATGCTCCATGAGGCTAATACGTTCTAAGGAAAGATCATACAACAATAACCACAGATCTTAGATATGAGAATTTTGTCAAGATAATATATTTATATTCTATTTATTATGTCTTGGATTGTCAAAGTTAGCCAGCTATGAAATAATTAGTTGATATATTTCACGCTAGTATGTATCATTTTCTTAGTAAAGTGACTTGTTTTTTGAGACATAAAATTGATTTATAGCTAACTTTGACTATTTCATGTAATTAGAGATATGCTCATGCTCATATCTTTAAATTACTTTTTTTAATGAGTATCAAGTTCCTCTTTAGTTAAGTAACCTTCTCCATCTCATTCGATTAAACTTGCAATTTAGAACTTTTTTGGCTTAACTACCTTAGTTGCACCTTTTATCAGGGCTTATCTCTATTTCTTAATATCTGATGGCTAGTGATATTCTAATATGATGTAGTTATTCTAATTCAAGCCTGTCAAAATAATTTCAAGTGATGAAGACCCCAAATCTTTTGAAATAATTTATATTGAACATCTCATAATCAAAACATCATAAAAACTTAAACGATACCTATATGAGTATTTTTATTCGCATAATTATTTTTTGTTAACATACTTATTGAACATCTCAAAGGCTCGCAATTAGTGAAGACCCTAAATATTTTAAAATGATACTTATTAAACATCTCATAATTAAACCATCAAAAAAACTTAATGACTAGAACTAATTTATACCTGTTGTCGCATGTGTCTACAAAGTATGATATTGGAAAGATAAAATGTTTGAAATAGAATGCATTAATTTAGAATTTAGTTGTAAATTATGAGTCCTTATTTGAGTAATTTTACACACATAATTTTTTTTTATTAACATAACTATTGAACATTTCAAAAGCCTAAATATCTAAGTTTTTACTTTTCAAACTACCCTTTTTCAGTCATAAAAAAACCTTTTCCACTAAGTTGGTTGCTTATAGTAAAATGCTTCATCTTTTCTATTTGATATAGTCATTTATTAGGTAAATGATATCAAGGTTTTAAATGTCGGTTATTGGGGATTTATCGGACGGTCAAAATTCTTATCGGATAGCGGAAATCGGGGATATATCGGGGATAAATAGTATTTATCGAAGTAATATACTAGCAAATAATAAACAAACATAAGCTTGAAAAATAATATAATGTTAGTCAAAATGGAATAACAAACTAGCAAATAATAAGATAACATCAAGAATGAAGAACCATCTACGCATCTACATAATTATTGTTTAATCATGAGATTCATAAACTAACTTACTAAGTTGATATTTAGTAGTTATGAGCCATTATCAATATCCATAAACAAACATAAGCTAATCACCAATCAACCAAGTTCCAAAAGCAACAAATAGTTCATAATTTGTAAACATTCAAAGAACAAATCCAAAAGAAAGTAAAAGCTCCCAAATCCTACTTATCGGCTGATAAAGCCGATATTTAGAGCCTACTTATCGGTCGATAAGTACCTTTATCGCCGATAACTCGTCGATAAACCTCAAAAAACGATAACCGATTCAAAATCCTACTTATCCTAGCGGGAAGCTCCCAAATCCGATAACTCGGCGATAATATCGGATTATCGGCCGATATTTAAAACCATGAATGATATACCTCATGTTTACTACAGATAGCTATGTGAACAAAGTATATTTTAAAGGCTAAATATCAGAGAAGTCCCCTTAACTTTGGCCTATGATTAGATAACCCATATAACTTTGAATATATTAGAAAACCCCCTTAGGTTTAGGGTTTATTTGAAAATCCCGTTAACTTTTGAGATTATATTAGGAAACCCCGCTAAAAGCGATGAATTTAGGGGGATTTTTAGATAAAATCTCAAAGTTGATGGAGTTTTTCTCATAAACTATAAAAGTTAAAAGAGGTTTTCTGATAGTCACTATACTCAAGGAGGTTTTCTGATATTATATCTTAAAAAATAGAGATATAACTGCTATTGAGATCATATTGGTATTTCAACTTCTATTGAGATATAACTGCTTCCAAAGAAGTTATCAGCTTCTAGCTAAATTAGGGAAAAGAGATATAACTGCTTCCAAAGAAGTTATCAGCTTCTAGCTAAATTACATAAGCGTAATGCTCGTGCCTGCAAAGGTAGGTTTGTTTGTTTTTTTAACACTGAATTATGACGATGAGTAAAGTTGAGGGAATAAAATGAATTTAGAGGCAAACTTACTATTATCATGATTTATGGGCAAATTTAAAAATACCTACAATTACAATTTGAGGGGTACATATTGAAAAAATCCAAAATTAAAATATGGATAAATTTCACTAAACCTCTAATAAGTTTGCTGTTTGGAACTAAATCCCCATTATCATAAAAACTCTCCCTAAACCCCCAATAACTTTTGACGGAAAACCCTCAAAATTAACATCATTCGTTCATGTATAGTCAAATGACTAAAATACACCCCAATAAGTTTTATATTTTTTCACTTAACCCCTAATACCCCAAATATTGGATATTTATAATTTTTAGATTTTTTAGAGGTTTGTTTGTAATTGTTAGAATTGTCAACAAGTTGATTGTAATTTTTTGGATTTTAAATGGATTTTATTTCTAACTTTAGATTTTTTTGGTCGTCTGTTTGTACTTTTTATAATTTTTAGGTACTTTTTGTAATTTTGTCGGGGTTTATTAGTAATTTTCTAAAGGGTCTATTTACGATTTTCAGACTTTTAGAGGGCTGTTTGCATTTTTAAAACTTTTAGATTGATATTTGTATTTTTTTGCTTTAATTGAATTTTTTGTAATTTTCATATTTGTCTTGTGTTTGTTTGAAATTTTGAATTTTTAGGGGGTTGTTTGTAATTTTCAAATTTCAAAGGGAGTTGTTTATAATTTTTAGATTTTTTAAGAGGTTGTATGTATTTTATGAATGTTTTGGGGGTCATTTATAATTTTAGAATATTAAGAGTCGTTTCTCAATTTTCAGATTTTTCAAGGGTTTTTTGCAATTTCAGAAAACCCTCAAAATTAACATATGGTAAATTTCACTAAAACCGCGATAAGTTTATTATTTGGAACTAAATCTTATTATCTTTAAAATTCTCACTAAACCCCTAATAATTTTTGACAGAAAATACTCAAAATTAACATCATTAGTTAAATGTGTAGTCAAATGAACAAAATACACCCAAACAACCCAATAAGTTCTACGTTTTTCCTCTTAACCCCCAATAATATTTGGCAAATAACTCCAAATAATGGATGTTAATAGTATTCATATTTTTTCAAAGGTTTGCAATTATCAGAATTTTCAAGAGGTTGATTATAGTTTTTGTATTTTAAAGGGATTTGTTTTCAATTTTCAATTTTCAATTTTCAATTTTTTGGCGGCTTATTTGTACTTTTTATATTTTCTGGGTTTTTTTTGTAATTTTTTGGGGTTTCTGTATAATTTTCTAATTTAAAGGGTCTGTTTAAGATTTTTTAGATTTTTAGGGGGCTGTTTGCAATTTTAAAATTTTTCAGGGTTCTGCTTATCATTTTTACTTTTTATGGGTTTTTGTTGTAATTTTCATATTTTAATGTGTTTGTTTGAATTTTAAATTTTTTAGGGTTGTTTATAATTTTCAAATTTAAGAGGTTTGTTTGTATTTTTTGGATTCTTTAAGAGGTTGTTTGCAATTTATGAACTTTTAGCGAGCATTTATAATTTTAGAATTTTAAGATTCTTTTTTTTCAAATTTTAGATTTTCAAGGGTTGTTTGCAAGTTCAGATTTCTTGGGGGCTATATGTTTTTTCCCCTTTTTTTAAGGGTTTGTTTATAATATCCTTATTTGGCGTGGCGGGTGAGTTGTTTTTATAAGTTTCAGAGATTTCAGGGGAGGAGGCCTGGTAGTTGTAGCTTTCAAATTTGGTAGCTATTTGTATTTTTTCATATTTTTAGGGTTGTTTGTAAGTTTATGGGTTATCTTGCAAATAAGAATGATTTGAGGGATATATACTGCCCCTGAGGGTTACTTCTCAACAATGTAAAATTTTGGGATAACGCTATTATGGAGGTTAAGTGTAAAAAATCAAAATATTCTGGGTGTTTTCTGAAATTATGAAATTTACTGAGGATTTAATGAGAGTTAGGAGCATTTTGGGAGTTTGTGCTCATTCAAAGTTATGAGAGGTTTATTGAAATTTACTTTTGAAAATAATTAAGGAGGGACACATGATATTTTTTAGATTTTTTTTAATTGTGGATAGTTACAATTCGTTTAGAATTAACAAAGATTTTACTATTAGAATTTTCTACTGTTTTATGGATAGAATTCTCTAATTATGGATATGAATAGTTTTAATTTAATGAGAATTTTGAGAAAGATAGAATTAGTTGGACACATGTTATCTTCCAATAGGATTGGGAATTAGTTCACTGTGTGATCTCTTTTCATATCAAAATTTGGTTAAAGATCTAATTATGATAATGTTAGAATGCAATATCCAAAAAGGTTAAGGGTAATATTGACCATGAAAAGTTTTTCCAAACTCTCACATTTATAAGGAAAATATGAGTTTTGACAATGTTTGATTAAATCTCTGTAGTATTTTATCGCATTTTTCTTGAAGCGATTTTATCACTTGTAAGTTAAACAGTCAGTTTTTGTGTAAAATTGTTCCTCATGCATTCAGATTTTTCTTACCTTCTTTACAGCTCAGATTAAAGAAGCTGTTCTCAATGGTGTTGCTCTTGAGGATGAAAAACGAGAGAAATTTAATGAAATTGAGCAGGTATGTGCATATCATTCTACTGACTGCTTTCTGTCATCTTTCGCATCTTGATTGATATCGACAAACTTTGTTCTCTACGTCACAAAATAAATGTTTGCAGGTGAAAAACCAGTGTGCATCTTGAACAATATGCAACGATGCTGAATTTGCCAGAATCTCCATGTTTTCTTTTCTATTTTGTTCCAGTTTTCTTTTATTTATCTATTCATTTAAACTTGCTTGCAGGAACTTGAAAAGTTATCTCAAAAGTTTAGTGAAAATGTGTTGGATGCTACCAAGAAATTTGAAAAGCTAATTACAGATAAGAAAGAAATTGAAGGTCTCCCTCCTTCCGCTCTTGGCCTAGCTGCACAAACAGCTGCTTCCAAGGTATGTCTTTTCATTTTGTACATAGATAAGTGAAGTTTATTACTCTACAGTTTCTCTAGCATATAACTTTTAATTTTGTATTTAGCTCATGCTAGTTATCTGCCTCAACAGGGTCATGAAAATGCTTCTGCCGAAGACGGGCCTTGGGTAATCACATTAGATGCTCCCAGCTTTACTCCAGTAATGCAGCATGTAAAAAACCGGTCATTGCGTGAAGAAGTTTATCGTGCTTATGTTACCCGTGCATCTAGTGGAGACATTGATAACTCTCCTATTGTTGCTAAAATTTTGGAGCTGAGGTTGGAGAAAGCTAAGCTTCTTGGCTATAATAACTATGCTGAGGTATATTTTTCACTTGATTGGCTTATATTTTTCAGAGTTTGCAAGGGTTGTGATAAAGAGATGTCCTCTGTAGGTAAGCATGGCAATGAAAATGGCTACAATTAGGTCAGCAGAAGAGCTTCTTGAAAAAGTGCGAAGTGCTTCTTGGGATCCTGCAGTACAAGGTTTTTCTTAGCTAACATTTTTTCTCGTTCTTGCAAGCTTGAAAACTTTCACTAGATGAAGGGTATCTGGTATCGGTTAATAGAGCGTGATTGGTGACACCTGAGAAAGTAGAATTGTGCAAACCCACCTGAGAAAGTAGAATTGCGCAAGCCTCCCTTCCTCCCTCACCTCCCTCCCATACACTCACAAACATCAATAGAATATATTTTTTTTCTTGAGGTAAACATCAATAGAATGTTAGAACATATATGTCGATTGAGGCTTGGTCAATGCACATGGAATTCGTGGAACCCATCCTCTCACTAATCAAGTGACATCTGCATGTGTATCTTATTCAATATTATTGTATACACTGCTTTATAGGGAGGTTACAACTTGTAATTGGACAACCACCTTTTCTTTAAATTTCACTATATTGAATATCAGCTTGTCGATAAAATTTCTTAATCTTAGATATCAGTTACCAATTGGAAAAACCCTCGTGTTTGTTATTTGTGTTGGCTCACTGGTTTACTTCAAGAAGTAATTGGACCTAACTTTACAAGATTGGTCTTATGAAATTCTTCTCTATCGAGTTGCATTATGACACAATTCCGGAGTTAACAGTATCATCCCTAATCTGCTAAATTAATAAATGGAGACGTCTATAGACCAATGATATCTTTGATAATTGAAACATTTTTGACAGCAAAGAGGACACTTTTACTTTGTTTCAACCAATTGAAGACTTTTCAGATTGTATATTAGGAAGGAGTAAAAAGTCATATTTCGCAGCCACTTAATGGAGAATAAATTTATTACCCATGTGTTATGCATGCATGCATTCACGTGCATGCGTCTGTAAAACTTCTTAACTGTGCATTTTCTATTTAGATGGTCTATTTCTCATTACCTTAGGGTATCTGTATAATGCTTCTGACATTCAAGACCCGAAACTTTGGTGATGTTAAATCTGATGAATGATGTTTTACTCTTGAATTGCGTTGTACTATAGCAGCCAGTAAGGATAAGCACCTAAAAGAGTTTATAGTGTATCTTATCTGAGAAGCATAACATAATGCCTTGAGTGAGAACCTCCAAGGAGGTAACCCACCCTGAAATTTCTGGAGCTTGAGCACATTTAACTAGAGAGTTTTGCCCTCCATATGCTTAACTGGGTTGTGATATTTTTAATGGAAGATGCAGAAGTTCATATCATTATTTCTACTCAATGGGATAATACACCCCTCATGCATGTGATTGTTGTCACTGTGGTCTCATAGATCTCTGGAGCAGTGTGATAATTGCAAGCTTGCAGAGACTCTAACCATGTGGGGTAAGAATGTGGGAATAATAACCTCTAGGTGCATTTGGGGGGATGGGTACAGCATTTCCTATCCCCGCTTGTTTTAGAGCTGCTGTCTGAAATACTTGATGATCTCGTCATATTGACAACCACAGTTTTGTGTTTATGGATAGGCCATAATGTTGTAATGTTGTAGTATACTCACAGGACTAGGACATGGCATAGCTCTTTAGGATTTGTCATTTATGCTGACAGCGTTCTAATTGTACTAATTTACAAGCTATGGAAACATATGATATGAAGACAAATAAATAAGGAATTAGCAATTTTCCTTGTCTAACTCTTGTTGTAATGCGAAGGTCCTGTGACCTTGTTTAATCTGAAGTTGTCTGGCTGTATCACGCTTTTGATATAGATATATAACAAATGTCTCAGCTCTATATTTGAGTCTTGCCATAAAATTGTTACTCAAACATTTGAGATTTAGACATAGCTTACTGTGCAATTTATGATAATTGCCTTCCTTTTGATTTTAATCCTTTGAGAGATTGTATTTAAAATAAAAAAAGAAGTTGGTTTAACTGCGATTACTATTTTTTTATTTTTTTAACTAATTGTTTTTATGAGGTAATCCTATCAACAAGGAATTTTTGTTAAAAAAAGTCATTTGACTTGATTGTTTCTTTGTGTTATGTAGATATGGAAGAACTAAAAGTATTTGCTAGAGAAAAGGGTGCTGCGGAAGCTGATAACTTGACCCACTGGGACATTAGTTTCTGGAGTGAAAGACTTCGGGAGGCCAAGTACAACATCAATGAGGTTGAATGGTCTTCATCACTTTGGTGATTGCTTATAAATTGTATGCTCAAATTTATCTATTTTACTTAACGAGCACCAGCAAATTTTCTTCTGGAGTATTCTTTTGATTGGAATGGGAAGTTAAAATAAGATGCCAAATACTGATCCTGTTTCTGCAGAAACTTTGTTTTCATTGCTACATATGCATTATGCATGGAACTAAATTGCAGCTTAACAATGATCTCATAAATATTCCATGCAAGGGTACTATTTACAATGTTCTGATTTTTACATTACGTTGCAGGAGGAATTGCGCCCATACTTTTCATTGCCTAAGGTCATGGATGGCCTTTTTAGCCTTGCAAATGCGCTTTTTGATATAAATATTGAACCAGCAGATGGTTTGGCTCCGGTGATGTAGCTCATCTTTATTGCCCCTTCCTATAACATTTAGAGCTAGTGCTTGCTGACTCTTCATTGTATTTTTTCTTTCTTTTTGCAGGTCTGGAATCCTGATGTTAGATTTTATTGTGTCAAAGATTCTTCAGGCAATCCAATAGCCTACTTCTACTTTGATCCTTATTCAAGGCCTTCTGAAAAGCGCGGTGGAGCATGGATGGATGAAGTTTTTGCTCGCAGCCGAGTACTTGCACGTGATGGTTCCCCTGTTAGGTTGCCTGTTGCACACATGGTCTGCAATCAAACACCACCACTTGGTGGAAAACCAAGTCTCATGACCTTCCGTGAGGTAATTGTGGCAGAAAGTTATGGTAGATCATACTAAAAGAAACCAACCTTCTCTAAATTGACTCTATTTCTCTTTTTAAAGCTATAATGTGAATTTCGAGTTTGACTCTTGGGCGCTAAACGTTGGATTTAATTTCCTAATACAAATTATCTTCTTTGGCTAGTTCCCATATCTTTCTTTTTTTATGAGAATTTATCTGAAACACCAGTAAGGTAGGTTTTCAACTAACAATGCTTCTAGAATTACTAGCACTCCTGTTAATAGTTTCCTCAGACAAGAAATACATCAGTTTAGAGGTTTGATGCCATGTTTACAATAACAGCAGCAATAAAAACAGCAGCAGAAGCAGCTAAGCTTTTACCCCAAATTCACAAACCGTTATAGACATTGAATCTTTCATGGAATTGGGCTCCATAACAGAACCCATTTTGATGGAAAGTGGGCTTATATGATGGTGATGAATGCTGGAAAGGAAATAAATTCACCATGAAGTAAGAAAGCACATGAATCTAGACTATATAACCATACGACCAGCTCAATGGAGTCCTATATTAGTGACGAGCGTTCTTCTTGCTGAGAAGAGCGGATTTTCCTAATCAGGAGTTAACTTTATAGGCTGTTTCTTCTAATTGGTGCACCTCAAACTAGCTGTTCTGTTTGTGTAGGTTGAGACTGTGTTCCATGAATTTGGTCATGCACTTCAGCATATGCTTACCAAACAAGACGAGGGATTAGTAGCTGGAATTCGGGGGATTGAGTGGGATGCTGTTGAATTACCATCTCAATTCATGGAAAATTGGTGTTACCATAGGTAACCAATTTACAATTCTTTCTCCTGAATCTCTAGTCCATATTGATATTTTATATTCTTGTCTTAAACTACTCTCGCATCTTTATAGAATAAATCTGGATTCTTAAATATTGAAGCTGGATGGACTTCCTTTGCAAGTTATAATTGGATGTTTAAGTTCTCAACAAATATCAAGTTTGTTTATTTGGCATCACATTACCATGAACGCATGTTAAATAATAAAATAGAAAGGGTCTAGTGTTTTTTAGGGGTTTTTCTAGAAACCACCTTAGAAATGGGGTAATTATACGAAAACCACCTTTCAATTTCAATTTGTACGTAAACCATCTTTAAAGTAGGTTTTTGTTGCAATCAACCACCTCCAAGTCAAATTTTCATAAAAAATCAAAAATAAGTTTAAAAAATTCAAGTTCAAAGTATGTCAGTTGTATCCTAACAAGACCTGAACACTAAAAAATGAGTCATGTGCCTTGGGTGTGAGTTAAGGCTAATTTTAGATTTTGGTGAAAATTTTGATTGGCCGGTGGTTGATGGCAACAAAAACCCACTTTAAAGGTGGCTTATGTTTAAAATTGGAAATGAAAGATGGTAGCCATATGCTTACCCTAACTTTAAGGTGGTTTCTAGAAAAAAACCCTTTTTTTAATAGTAACGCTTATATTTGATATTATTTAGTAACTACATGTTGCAGTATGCCAGCTGACAAAAATGTTTCAGGTCCAGCCAACTTCACTGGTAACTATTATAAACCCATTAATTGCCAACTGAGCTAGGTCACGTGAGCAAGACACATTCCAAGCGGGGAGATCACTGTTTGGATCTCTCTAGAGTCTAGATGTGGTAACAATGGAGAATTTCTACTCAGCTATAAATTGCCTCCTCAAAATTCTATGGGCCAATTGAAAATGACAAACCCATTTGTTGACTTGAGTCATTTGACCAAACCCAGAGTGCAAACACTAGATATAAGTAATCATATGAAGGTCAGTGCTACCTAGATTACTATGCTAAATGTTTCCAGTTCAAGGTCAAGTATGAGGTCAATATTATATCACCTAATCGTCCATGTTTTAAGAACATTAGGTTCCTGCAAGTCTTGTACTCTTTTGTCCTTTTTCTATCATTTGAGTTAGAAAGAAGGAACACTATACAACCGAGGGAAGTTGGAGTTGGGGTGACAAAAGCTTTCTAGCACTCTCGGTCCTTATCTTGTTATGGTCTAGAGTTATATTTCAAACATTTTGATATAAGAAACTCTAAATGTGGCTTTAGATGACCATTGAACTCTATTTGGGATCATTTGCATTCTATAACTTGATTTCATTTTGGTCAGATGGGCATGTTTGCCAAATAATGTTATAGTTACCAAATTTTATTTCTTGCCAGTGATTGATTTTATCGAATGCATACTGCAAAACGCCAGAAAGAAAGATTTGTATGGAGGTCGGAACAAGGGATTACTTTGCTAAATGTTCTAGGTCAAGAAAATGTATGAGGCCAATACTATAGTCTATATATAGCATGTAATCATGCAGGGTTTTAAGAAATTTAAGTTCATGCAAGTGCCATAATCTTGGATTCTTTCCCGTCCTATCATATTTTAGGGAGAACAATTATGGCAGCCGTATGTAATAAAGTGTGGATGACTATAAGCTCTAGTAGCATGTTTGATCCTTTGTTGAAGAATTCATGTCTAGAGTTGTCTTCCAAAACTTCTGGTATCAGAAACTTTAAATGTATCTATGGATGACAATGAACTTTATTTGAAATCAGGTGCATTTTATAAATTGAATTTATCTTATCAGATGCTGCATGTTTTTCCAAGTATTACATAATTGTTATTTTAAGATTTTATCTTCTTGCAATTATCTCAGGGATACTCTAATGAGCATTGCAAAACATTATGAGACTGGTGAATCTCTTCCTGAAGAAGTATATTTGAAGCTTCTTGCTGCAAGAACATTTCGTGCTGGTTCTATGAATCTTCGTCAGGTAGTTATCTGATATATACTTCTTATTCATCAAAACAATAAGCTTTAAGTTTTTGATTTGCTTCTGTAGCAGAAATAGGTGTAACCTTGATACATAAAACAGTGGCAGTTGACTATTTATCTATCTTGTTGACATTTGCATCAAAGCTCTCTCTTTTGGCTATGTAATCTTTTTTGTCATTTCTGTGATGTATATGCCCTGTGAAACTTGTGCCACATGCTGATTTTCTGTTAGAAACTCGACTTACTTATTATGCCTCTGATATGTACACAATGAAAAATGTTGAAACTTAATCTGTTTTCCCATTTTCCTTGATGTAGAATAGTCTATTACATATAATTCTTGATTTTGGTCATCATCAATTTCCTGGAGATTAAATGTTTCATCTTTCAGATTTTGATAAAAAAGTTCACGCAAAGCTAATTTTTATTATGCTGATTTAAATTTGACACTGGATACTGGATTTGGGGTTCCTTTGCGGCTTTGCCCAAAAATTCTGACCAATATTGGAAAGGACTTCATTATCTTGTTATTCATTCTTTTTTGTTGTAACCTTCCCTTATTGTCAGCATAATTGAACAAAAAAGGTCGCAAGGGTAATACTTCTTTTAGGATTCAAAATCTTCGAACTTAAAAAAAAGGGAAAAAAAGAAAATCCTTCAAATTCTGATTGTGATGCTAAGTAGCATCCTGAATAAAACGGATTCCATCAGCAGCAAGATGCTAATCCTTTTCTAACAACAACAATTTAACTAAGATTGTACATTTATTTAATTTATTCTTTACATTGTGCATTTTTTATTTATTCAAAATGATTTCAACCCGGTCCTAGATCCTCTTCCAGTGCACATGGATTTTGTTTGAGGCATATTGCAGGTGTCCTATACCTTCTAAAGGATTGCATTTGGAGCTGCTGCAAATTTTAAAAAAAAAATCTTTATCATGTGGATAATTGGTAACTATCATCTTTACTCTCTCCACAGATTCGGTTTGCTAGCTTAGATTTGGAACTTCATACAAAGTATACTCCTGATGGACCAGAATCTATATATGATATTGATCAAAGAGTGGGGAACCGTACACAAGTTATTCCTCCACTACCAGAGGATAGATTTCTCTGTAGCTTCAGCCATATATTTGCAGGTTTATTCTGCCCCTTTTCTTGGTTTCTACAGTGCAATATTTTATATGTCCTTTCTCTGTGTTCTCACGACTTTCCTATGTTATCTGGCTTGTTCTCTGCTAACAGGTGGATATGCTGCTGGATACTATAGTTATAAGGTACCTATTTTCTGAACCCTTTCACTTTTCAGTTACTTATTATTTTTTATATTCTCATGTTGGTTTTCATCCACATTTCTTGTTCAATTATTTGAATCGCCTTTTCCCCCCCTTATATTTATATATTGTCTATACAAAATTTTTTATTTTTTATTTTTTTCATTTTTTTATGTTTTTTTATTTTTGTTGCTGCATGATAGAAAACTGTGTTAACATGATATCAGGCCATTTATAATTTTCCGCTTCATATCTTTCTCATTAAGAATGTATTTGTTTTCATTTGTATTTTCAGCATGCTCTTATCATAGAAATGGAGATTAAAGATGGAAATCTAGTTATAACTGCGATTTGAAGAAAAAAGTGTAATCTTCTTGAAAAAACCTATAAAGGAATATCTTTCTGGAATGTTGTTCTATTTAGCTCCTTATTACTACAAGGTAGTATTGACTAATTTTTGTGCATGAAAGCTTGAGATGTTGCATATGATATTAGTTGGTTTCACGTTGACATGGAGGAAACAACATCTAGAACCTAATTGTTTTTAGTCTTTGTTAGATGAGTTTCAGCACTTGGATCTTTTGTAGGTAATAAATAAAAATAAATTCTAGCGTAAATTGAGTTAGTTCCCTTATTTGTCATGTATTTCATGAAACTTCAGCAGTGGCAACCATGTGCCATCAGTTGATTCCCATGGACCTTTGTTGTTGCTTAGAAATCTGTACTTGAAATATATCCTCTATTGACATTATGTTGATACTTACCAACTGATTAATTTACAATGTACCAATTGATGGCACACTATCTTTTTCTCATTGAGAAGTCGAAATGACCTATATCCTTACTTTTATTGTACAATTTTCTTACTTATTTTTATTGTAGGACTTATTTTCTCTCTTCAACTTTGCAGTGGGCAGAGGTTTTATCAGCTGATGCTTTCTCAGCATTTGAGGATGCTGGATTAGACAGTGATAAGGTAATGCTTCAGCTCGATGACTTCAGCTTGCTTACTTCTTGCAATAGCAATGCTCATATTGCCATTCTTCGAATTTATATTCCACCATGCAATGCATGCTGGCTACTTGCTGGTTAGTTATTAATTATTTTAGAAATAAGCTACATGCTTATAAATCTTACACATCTCCTAATTTGGTAGCTCAGCTGGCATCTTTTTCTATTGTTTGTTTGGCTTTTATTTATTTATTTATTTATTTATTGCTGATGTATTGACTGAGGCCAGTGTTATAGGTAGATCCGTTAGTATTACATATTCAAGCTGAGGGCTAACATGAATTTGAGCTAAGTATTGGTGTGGATTACTATCCAGCCCCAACAAACCTTACTTCTGATGGCTATCAATCTTAGTTAGGCAACTTGTTACTTAACTGAAATTCTTCAAATTAATCTGAGCTCATCATAATGATGGATTTGGTTGGCTTGGTTGAAATATTTTACCAACAACCTTTGCTTTCATGATAATTAATCAGCAACGTTTATCACCTCAGGCTATTAAGGAAACTGGTCAGAGGTTTAGAGAAACGGTTCTTGCTCTTGGAGGTGGAAAAGCACCGCTTCAGGTTTGTCCTCTGCAAAATTTATCTGTAAAATTTTGAAATTGTCCAGATTTTTGCTTCAGCAGTCATTGGTGTGATCTTGAATCATATTTCTTTGTTTTGATCTTGAATCGTAGTTCTTTCTCACATTGGTTCTATGAAATGGTAAAAAGTTTTATCTTTGATTGCTTCATGTCAATCAATATTTAGGTTATGAAATTTTTTTTTTGAAAGAACCGTTTTTAATATTTAATTAAAAACTCAGTAACTTACTATTTATTTACAAATAATGACCAACTTCCAGTCAAGTGAGCATTGATGGCTGAAGTTTTGTCTTTCGAAGATGTTGCCAATCATGGATTGGTTAATTCTCTAGGGTTTTTCTATAGAGTGCCCATGGGTACTCTATAAGAGAGGAGAGAGATAGAGAGATGATTGGGGAAGGGATCCCAATACAAATCACGTGGGCCCCCTCCTCAATCATCTTTCTCTATCTCTCTCCTCTTCTATAGAGTGCCCATGGGCACTCTATAGAAAAACCCAATTCTCTATACTCGTTTGACCTTGTGTTCCCAACATCCGGCCTAATTAAAGTTAATAATGTTGGGTACCGTGTCTTCACTTAAAAAGTGAAAAAATGAAAAAAGATGAACCTTCGGCAAAATACAAAAGGGTTTGCAAAATTGTCCTATTTACGTTACTAAATGAGCATATGTTTGAATGCAAATGCCAGGTGTTTGTTGAATTTCGAGGAAGAGAACCATCGCCAGAGCCACTACTTCGGCACAACGGTCTATTGCCTATTCCCGCCTCCGCTTGAGGCGTTATACGAGATAGCATTCGAGAAAGAGCGAAGCACTTCATTGCGACAATACAACACATTACAACAGTTGAGGACATGTTAGAATTAGACTCGCCAATTGATGGCAAAAAAAGGGGTTTGGTTGATACGAAAATTGTTCTGGTGGAATAAATGGGGACCTTGTAACATTTAAACTTTTGTTTCACTCTCCCATTTTTATATTCTTTATATTTATGTAAATCCTATACTATTTAGGGTTCATAAGACTGTATCATGAACTTTGAAAGGTTTTGCGCAAAAGGAACAAATATGATATCAGGAACTGTTCGAGATTGTTGCTTATGACGTAACATTTTGGATAACGGTCGGTGTTATCCTTATTTTTGAAATGGGAGAGGAGGGAGGGCAATGTAGTAGAAAATTTGAAGTATGCAAAGGTAACTTGTTCCTGCTCGTGAAGCAAATAACAATTCATTCTAACTGTCATCAGGGAGTTTTAATAATAATAAAAAAAGGTTACTGGTGGTGGTCTGTAGTTGAATAAAAAAGTCTAGCAGTTCAAAACCTCCAATGGGTTCTGATTAGGGGTGCTAAACTGTATCTGTATCTGAGAAAATATCCGTAACCGTATCCGTTAGGATATGAATATGGTTACTCAAATCTATAACCGATAGGATATGGTTACGGATATGGTTTTGTAGTGAAATATCCGTATCCGAAATATCCGAATACATATTAGTCATACTCTTACGATAGTTTCGATTCTTAGATTATGGATTTGTGATTAATTTTGATGATCAAGATGTCTAATCTTAACTTTTCAATTATAATAGACATATTAACAAACTCTTTTGTATCACATGAACTATGTTTTTCTCAATACTATCTAGTTTTATCATATTTGTTTTGTATCTGCATGCATATCCTCTTATATATCCGCATGTATATCCGTAACCGTATCCGATTTTAGCGGATATGGTTATACATTTTTCTTACCGAGGTATATCTGTATCCGTATCCGTATCCGAGATGGGTAAGCGGATATGGATATGATAAGCATCATATGGGAGCCGTATCCGGACCGAATGCACCCCTAGTTCTGATACGAAAGAGGCTGGTAAAGGGGAATGCTTATAGTAATTTCGAAGGGGAGAGGGTGGAAAGAGAGGGGGTATAATAGAACTAATTGTATTTGGATAAATAACTAGGGGAATAGAGTGGTGGCAGCGCGCTATGATTTGTGCTTGTTTAAAGTAGAGAATAGGAAGAGAGGGAAATTACTTGACAAATATGACTAAAGTTTAGGGGTAATCTTAAAATTTTAAGAAAAGATCACTCAGAACTCGATCTCTCTCCTCCCAATCCGTCCACTTTTGGGGTAGGAAAGCAAGAAAATGAAAATTTACTTCTCTATTAGTGAATCGCAAGTTCCTAATATGTTTCCTAATATATTTTGGTAACAGGTTATTGGGATTCCTAATCTGTTTTGGTAACAAGTTATTAGGATTCCTAATCTATTTTGATTTTGGTTTTAGAATTCCTAGTATGATTTTGGTTTTAGGATTTCTATATATATACGAACATGTTTTAGGTTTGGAGAGCAGCGAATGGGATATTTGGAGCACAAAAAAGAGGTATTTTCTGGAGCTATTGGTTAGTGTTTTGTTTGGAGAGAGTTAGAGCTTTGTTCGTGAAATTAATTGGTAAGTTTGTGTGATTTTGTAATCTCAGTTTGGTTTTGGCTTCCGCCGCGCACAACAATTATTTATTTGGTTTTCTGTGTAAAGGGTGAGGTATGAGGATAGAGCATTGATGGCTTGGTAATTTGATTGTCTTAAGCTCCCCTCTTTTGTGCGTAAAGGTTTTTGTTGTAAGATCTCTCGCTACAAACTTATATGGTAATCTAATTATCTATGTTTAGTCTATTTTTGCCTCAACTAGAAGTCTGTAGCTAAGTATGCGAATAGGATAAGGATCACTTGTTCAACTAGAAGTCTGCAGCTAAGTATGCGAATATTGTGTTTGAATTACGAGGTAACAGCCAATTACGTACAGTAAACATAATTTTTCCTTTAAAATTAACGGGTTTCTTTCATAAATAATAGGAGAGTTGCGTTAGAACATATTATTAGAACAAAAGAAGTTTGCTATTATAATATTCACCTAGCAAGAAATAAATATTTTTATATATAAAAACTATTGTTAATTATGTTTACTATTTAATTTAAAAGTTATATACAACTTACATAGGAAAAAAAACTACAAAAGATAAACGTAGGTTGCACGTGCAGTAGCGCTAGTAATAGATTAAGAATTGATGACGACGGTCATTACTCTAGGTGGAACAGTGACTTGTAAAAATTGTTCGAAAGCAAACGAAGGAAAAGTCTACAAACAAACTTTTCTGTTTTATCAAAAGAGAGAGAACATGAAACAAAGACGATGGCCACTTTGTGAGGTCGTCTACTGACCGCGGCATCTCAAATATCTACCAATGAAACCTACACCACTCTCTCTTGTCTACTTTCATCCTCAATTCTATCCCCATAGCATATATTCTGTTATCTCTTAACTGCTACTACCACATCATCAACAATTTTGCGACCTTAAAGCATATTAAAGGACATGCACTCACTTGTGACCATCCAAATTGATGAATATTCCTTATGTTTTTGGATTATTTACACCATGATACTTTGTAGTATGACGTAATCACACGAGTAATCCTAATATATGTGTCTGTATGGATAATCATGAGTAAATCTAAGATTCTCTTTAATAGGGTTATTTATAATCTCAGTTAGTAATCCCATGCTTATGTGTATATAGCTACATAAATCTCGAGGTCGCGCATGTAATTACACCATACGACATGGTATCTGATCAGGGATAAGTAATCCTATCTTTTTTAACAAAGGGCCTTTTAGATATATGCCTTCTACACTTGTTCTATTTTTCTATACCATCAAATTTGACAATTTGTTAATTAACACCCTCTCATCTCACACTTTCAGTCTTTTAGTAGAGGGAGTATAAATTAACAAAAACACTAGTTTTGCAATTATGGATTCAGGATTTCTTAAAAGTGGTGTCACTGCGTAGTTAACAATTAAAAAACTTTTACAATTGCCCCTGACAGTTTTCATATTTTAAAGAAAAGTACATACTATGTAATTTCATCATTAGTACGCTATTAAATACGTTTTTCTCAATTTATGTCATTTGTGACAGTTGTAATTGCGAACTTAAATTGAAAGGTGATTGTTAGTGGATAAAATTTAGAAACCCCCTTAAGTTCGCACTAAAAATCCTATCTGAACCATCCCTATAGGAAACAGACAGTTTGAACAATAGATGGAATAGCTAAAATTCTTAAACTAACCCCCTAACCACTCGCGTATAGTATAGATCACCCTATTTCTATAAGATGTTCTGATAGAATCTGCACTCCTAAGTTCGAGCGTTTCTTGGATAACCCATTTAGCTTTCAAACTATCAGAAACTCTCTTAAAGTTAGGGGTTCTTAGACATTCCCCTTCAACTTTCAACATCTTTAAAAAAACCTTTAAAAATATTAACTGCAATGTTCACACGGTAGTAAAATTATGCAGATAGATATTTGTGCCAATAAAAAAAATAGCGTGTTTTGAAAAACATTGAAAGTTGAAGGGGTTCTGTGCAAATCTCAAATCTTAAGAGGGTTTTGTGGAATCTTCAAATTTTTTGGGCTTTTGCATCAAAATTATCTTTACTTTTACCCAAGTTGATACTTACTACCTCAAAAAAAAATTTGATGTAACCCACATTTAATTACTTGCTAATATGTTTGCAATGTTACATTTTTTTATTGCTCACCCACGAAAAATCAAATATGTTTATTTTACCACCATCTTCTTCTTTCCAAACCCTAACCCTAACCCTAGCCTCCTCCATCCTCCTCTTCTACAAACTCTAACCCTAATCCTAACTCATGGTCGTCATCTCCCTCAGAACCCTAACCCCAACCCTAACCCATGACCATCACCTCCCTCAAAACCCTAACACACGATTGCCACCTCCCCCTAAACCTTAACCTTAACCTATGGTCGTCACCTCTCCCAAACTCTAAGCCTAATCCTAGTTTCCACTTGGAAGGAATGAGAGTGTGGGAGGTTAGGGAAGAAGAGGGAGAACGAGAGAGGGGGAGGAGAGTTGCGGGAGGAGGGAGAGGGAAGACAAGGAGAAGAGGAGGATGAGGAGGCTAGGCTTAAGGTTTGGGTTTGCGAGGAAGGAGATGAAAAAATAAGAAAATGATGAAGGTAAAATGGTCATTTCACATATTTTTTTGGCAGAACATTGGATTAGGTGTGATATTGCAAACATGTTAGCAAGTAAATGTGATTTACATTAAATTTTTTAAAAATTATAAGTATTAATTTAAGTAAAAATAAAAATAATTTTGATGTAAAAACCCAATTTTTTTTGTTGAGCGGAATCATTATTCCAATGGGAACTTGGAAACTTAGAGGTTCTTCTCCTTAATCAAAGTGGGGCCACGTTGATCAAGGTAGATTCGCCCCTGCTATTTTGTGCTCTACTTTCACCACCAAGGCTCCAATTCTAGCATCATTGAATGATATTCCATCATCATTTACATGCCATAGAGTCACATCATCAACAATTCGTTTCAAGCTATACTAAAGCAAATGACACTATTTTTTATTGACCGTAGCTAGACAATAGCTTATGAAGGGCAATCAATAGTACATCCAAGGATGAAGATTCCTTATGATCTATAATAAATGACGATCAGTTTGCGCTGTAGTACATTTTTTGTTATATTCCTAGTAAAGCTGTAATTGCATAAAAATAATTCCTCACCATAAATAGCTTATGGCAGTCAGGTTATTGGCACTAATAAGGTTGGGAACCCATTCCTTATTATGTAATATTTTTTTGCTCTCTTTAATTTAGCAGTCTATGTAAATATCATGCGTCACTCATTGAGATGTCAAAGATGAAAATGACTTTAAACGTTAAAGACATAATATGATGCGACCAATTCATCTGACAGAATGGTTGTTCTCACTGTGGTCGTCATCTTTTGTTGGATCCCGAAAAAGATACGAAACGATTTGTTCTCTTAACTATTTTAGTTTTGAGATGAGATTCTATCACCTGGTAAGAATCTCGTTACAACTGTTCTTTCTCAAGTACAGAAGAGGAGAAGGTTGATTCGACTTCTCATTTGTTTAATGTGGGCTCTGTGTGGCGATGAGATGCCTCGCTCGATGCTTGAGTCGAGCTTACTTCTTGTTAACGATCAAACCAAGATCGCTTCAATTTGAGGAGGAAATTAGCCTCCGTCGAGTGCTTGAGCCGCCACCGGTGGCTGCTGTTAATTTTAGATTGTAAGAACCGAGGTTCGAATCTCAAAGGAGTGCCTCAGAACGTGAGTGCTAGCTCTCTACTCTCTCTCTCCAGTTACTGTTTGTGCCTGTTCATAGCTGCTCATGGCTATTTATAGGCCTTTAGCGTGTAACTAACGCACTGAAATCATGGAGTCATGGCGTAACTGACTCCTCAAATTTAGCCCACATGGGCTGATTGGGTCTTTCAAAACTGTTATAATCAAGCTTCGTTTGGTGAGACGAGACCCACTGCGTGGCGAGGTTCGTCTGATAGGACGAGCCTCGATGCGCAGCGAGGTTCGTCCTTCAAAGCGAGCCTTGCTGTATAGTGAGTTTTGTCTTTGTTGGTCGAGTCCAATTGCATAACAAGCCTTGTGGACTTCTTCTGACGAACTTCGTCTTCACTAACATGCTTCGTCTTTAATAATGAGTTTCGTCTTCACTAACGAGCTTGAGCTTCGTCTTCACTGATGAGCTTCAGACCTTATCTCTGATGACGAGCTTTGATGCTTCCAGACTAGCTTTGTCCTTAGTGACGAGCTTCAGACTAAGGTTCGTCCTTACTAATAAGACGAGATTTGACCTTCGTCATGCTTGTAGTGAGGTGCGACCTTCATTTGTGTTTTGGCATTTTTGAATGCCTATAGAGGCATCTTGAACTTCTTACATGGAGCATTCATAAAGGTCATATGAAAGTGGGGTGTTCCCCTGATGGCTTCTCCGATCAGTTTGTACACTCGATCGTAGCTAGAAGCTCCTACGATAGAAGAGGGAACTGGAAAGGCACGGTGATGGAGGAGAGTCTAGAGACCCTAGTACGATCTCCTTAGTGACCAGGACCTAGACTCTCACCGGTGTCTTCCTGATGATGGAGGAGGAGTCGGTGAAATTTGCCAGTACCAGCCGATCGGTGAGGCAACGAGGTTGTGCACTCAACGCGACCCCACAACCGCTTGGCACCAGCATGAGGAGTCTGAGGTGAAATTGTTCGCTATGCCCCAGAAGGAGGGCGAGTCTCCGACCTTCGGTCTCCAGAAGGCGGTGGGAGAGAAGTGGCTTGTTGTGGCTGAGGCAGCCGACTGATGAGTTCGCTAGTGAAGGTAGCAAATTGCTCTTGAAGAGAGTGAGAAAGCTTCCGAGCTGCTTTTTCAAGCTGAGCTTGAGTGACATAGCTCCGACGTGGTTCTACAGGGCGAAATGGATTAGACCCATATTCAGAACACGACATGTTTTCTCAAAAAAGAAAGTAGCCCCACGGTGGACACCAAATTATTGATGTTTTATTGATCACACAATCAATTGTATCCGTTGTTGGATAGGGTTGTTGAGTATTAATGAGGAACCGCTTTCTTCCCTGACTTTATATCTGGTTCTGAGTAATGTGGCTGAAAAATATGCACAAGTAGAAACTCATAAGAGGACGTGGCTTGGGTCCCCCGTGGTTCCTCTAACGATCAAGTCAGCTTGTGAACTTGAGTGGGGAAAATGAAGAACTATTAGAGTTCTTGTGTGTGTAGTATGTCTACTTAAAGATCAGATCAAGAAGAAAATCCCCCAGAAGAAGATAAGATTAAGAAGATCCAGATCCAAAAATGATCCCCTTTAAGTTAGAATAGTACCTCTATTTATATTGAGGGTATAAGGGTAGATCGGTCACTCGGCTGAACACAGGATGACGATGGCGGAGTGTGGGCTGACGGTTAGGTCAGGACCTACTTTACAGGAGTCAGCACATACTTTACAGGTGTCAACTAACAACTGGATGAGCGATCAGCTCAGTATTAAATAGGAAGTGATCGGAGGTATGGCGAGGCATACGTGGTCCGATGAGTCATGAAGGCTATTAGGGCTAGAGGCAAAATGCGTCTGTTATGCATTAAATGCGATGCTGACACGTTGTCAGTGGGGGAGGCTCGAGGCAGAAGTTGTCCTTTAGCTTCACCGAGAAGTAACGCCTTTCGAGTCGTCCTCGCGAGGCGTCAAGCATCTTGTCGAGTGGGCTCATGACGAGTCGTATTCGACAAGAGGGTCGACTGGTATCGCCTTTCGAGTCGGCACTAAGGAATGTCAACTTGACGAGTCGGCTAAGTCGGAATCATCGCTAGTCTCTGACCGCCAACTTGATTGGGGCATGGTATGCAGAAGTACACATGTCCGTTGTTTAGCAATAAGTTGCTTTTTGGCGAATGGGAACACCATAAAAGTTTTGTAGTAAAATATTCGGATTCGTATCCGAAATATCCAAGTACATATTAGGCATACTGTTGAGATAGTTTTAATCCTCAGATTATGGATTTTTGGTTAATTCTGATGATTAATATATCTACTTTTAGATTTTCAAAAATATAGTGAACATACTAATGAACTCTTTTGTATCACATGAACTATATTTTTTCAATCTCATCTAGTTTTCTCATATCCGTTTTCTATCCGTATTCTTATCCGCTTATATATTCGTATGTTTATCCCATCTGAATCTAATTTTAGCAGACATGAACATAATTTTTTTTACCAAGATATATCTGTATCCGTGTTCGTATCCGAGATGAACAAGTAAATTTGGATACGAAAACTATGATATCGGAGCCGTATCCGGATCCCTGCACTCCTCCTAAAAGGCTGGTGTATGCTCGATGTCCAAAATAAAATATAAAATTATATAAAATACATCCATCGTCACGTGATAAGATAACGATGGTCGTATTTTACGGGGCTCCCAAGTAAAAAGGTCCAAGGTCCACTAGTCACCGGTATTCAGATTGATCGAGCGGGGCCCACACGGCGGGCCCCTCGATCCTGGGCCCCTCGATCCTAAAACGAGACGTCATCATCAATCCGGCCGTCCATCAATTCCCAACGCGAAAAAAATCAACGGCCGATGTACCCTCTACACAGGAACCCCATCCCGCGTATAAAGACTCACGCTGCTAGAGAACGGGAGGGAAGCCATCTGTTTTTGGCGCCCACAGAAAACTCCTCCCGATACCGCTCATTTCTCTGTCTCATCTTCCTCCTCCTGATCTCGATAACCCTAACCCTAAATTTTTGTTGGGGGATTGGGGATATCCTTCTTCATTGATTTTAGAGCTAGATTGCTTAGAGAATCGGTAAGGGGCCGTGTCTGGGGATGGATCCGAGTCCGATATCGGACTATTGGATCGACTGGATCGACGACGTCGGCGTGGGATCCGACGTCGATCTCCGATCCGCGCTCGAGACCTTCTGCGATATTTCTCCGGCCAACGGGTACTTTAGAAGCACTAGGTGCTTTGAAATTCGAGCATTTTGGTTTTTTTTTTTTCGTTTCGTTTTATCTTAAAAGATTATGTTTATTGTTCTGATGATTTGAAATCGTGACAGTGTTAGGTCTCCAGAAGAGTATGGAGGTGGATGCGGTGTCGACCCCACCGGTTCGAAGAAAAGGTTTGATTTTTTTTTACGGTTGATCTTTTTTTTTAAATGAGATTTGGGATTTTGCGGTTCTGTGGAATTAATTTATTTTTATTTAGTGTAAACTGTTTGTCTTGTAATGTGAAGTAGGAGCTGATGCTTGTTTATGTAGTTTCAATCATTAAGTTAATTTTTGGAAATATTTCTTCCCGCTTTGTATTGTTTTGTATATAAAATTTGAGTATTGAATACTGACTGACTGTGAAGTGGTTTTGGTAGTAAAGTGGTGGGCTAGGCTTGTAGTCTATCATAAGGTATCTTGTTGAATTTAGCAATATCTGATGTTTGTTGATGAGGACTATGACGTCTTAAATTAAGTCCCTCTAACCATTAGACTAAAACTCTAAAGTACTTGTGAGGATTATGGTTTTATATTACTTCTAAACATGCCCCTGCAGGTTGAGCACCCTTATTAATGGGTTGAAACCTAGACTCATGCAGCAGTGTTAATGTTTAGAAAATCTGTGTTAAATTCATGGCCTGTGGGATTTGAGCCTGGGTTGCTCTGGTGCCATCTTAAATTATGTCTCTCTAACTATTACACCAAAACTCCGAAGTTCTAGTGATGATTGAGGATTATAATTTTGTATTAATTCTAACATGGCGAAAAAGGAGAATTTGTTATTATACTGGAATTATTAACAAAACTAATTCAATTTTTGAGGAGTTCAATCCCTGCATTTTCTTGCTTCTTTAAATATGGGTTGTTCCTATGGGATGTAGTTTAGAGATGAAGAAAAAGATTCATTTTGTTAGTGGGAGGCTAAATTGTCCCATCTCAACCAAGGGGTTGATGACTTAAACCAACCATTCAGAGATGAGGTAATCATCATCGGTCATTCTTGGTAGCCGCCCACTACATGAGGTGACCGTGGGATTCTTATTTTACTTTCTTTTTGGTTTCTTTTTGTGTTTTGATTATTTTCCGACAGGTGCTCTGTTTTTCTTGTAGTTCAGTGACAAGTGAGACTAGTGTATGGTCCTTCCTTTCCTTAAGATTTTAAGCTATCTGGCACACTTAAGCCAAGTTCTGAAGTTTTATTGACAACCATAAAGATTGCAAGTAAAAGTTTACAGCTCACCCAATTAATCAGCGGTTCAACCCAAGGAAAAAGTATTTGATTACATAACACATTTTGGTTTTTAGGATTTTTAAAATAGTTTTTCCGTAGTACTATTGAAGTTGCATTTACATACGGGACATTATTGACTTGACCTTGCTTTATGCTTTAAAACTCTCGAGTACAGCCAATGTGAAAAGAAAGTAAATCTTAATTCATTGTTCCTGGTACCCAATTCAATTCGAGTAAAAAAAGATACGGATACTAATGTTAGAAAAATTAAGGATGCTAATGTTAAAAAATTAGGGCTACAAAATACAGTATCTAATTTTTAAGCATACATCCTAATTTGATAGAGGCCATTTCAAGTTGTGTTTATCAAATTACTTTCTTCTTTCTTTTCTCTATGCATTTTATGCTCTCCACCTTCTGAGAATGTTACGTTTGAAGGTTGATCTAGTGTCTTTCCTCGTTCCTTTTCTCTATCGATTTTTTGCCTCCCAATTTTAGTAATGATGGTAGGTTGATTCTTACTTATTTCACAATTCATCTAAGGGGCTGTATGTTTCACCCATTTTATAAAAAAAAATTGGTATTTGGATCTGACAGTGATAAAATCGTAATTAAAGGATTCCAAATGAATCCTAATATGGAGTTTGGTTCAATTTTTTTTTTACAGATTTCCAAATTTGTAAAGTACCCCAAATAGTGTTTTTTTAAGGATTCCCAAATCCTCTCCTTTTGATCGGATTTGGGCGATATTTCTGACATCCCCATCCCTTTCACCTCTTTGGGGTTTTTCCGATTCTGTCGCTTTCGAACACCCTAGATCCGTGGTTGGAGCGCTGTTCTTCTCCCGCCTCATCTCACAACATTGTTCTTCTCCCGCCTCATCTCACTCCTCTTCATGCCTCTTCTCCCGCGGGCTTTCGATTTCTTTTTCGAACTCGTGGCTGGCGGAATCAGCTTCTCCCTCTTCTCATCGTCGACGCTCCTCTGTTGGTAGGTTTCGGACAGTTTGTTGGTGATCCCTTCTCGAACTTCTCATCGTCGACGCTCCTCTGTTGGTGGGTTTCGGTCGGTTTGTTGGTGATCCCTTCTCGAACATCTGATTTTTGATCGGTTTGTTGGCCTTGTGGTGTCCGTCGGTGGGTTTGTTGCTTGGATTTTAGTGGGTTTGTTGCTTGGATTTTAGTGGGTTTGTTGCTTGGATTTCAGTAATTTCCCCCGCTGCACCCGAAGGTATAAAAATTTCCCCCAATTTTAAGATTCATTTCTTCGTGCTTGATGTGAATCGTTAACAAGGTTTTTGATAATTTATTTTTTTCTGCTGGGCAATATAATGTGTTGTTTTTGATAATTCGTTACGTGTATAATCTCTTAAGAACATGGATGATCTATTAGTTGATTATTGAATTTCAATTCCCTGGATTAATTAAGGAGTATGACCTTCAAATGAAACCCTTGGATTGAATCGTTAATCATATTTGTTTGATCAGTGTGTGGACTTAAATGCGACATTAGTTAAAATAAATTTCTGTGTAATTAGATATCTTGTTTCAAGAAATTAATATTTGTAATTAGATATCTTTATTTGGGAATTTTGCACCGCAATAACATCTTCCCTTATTTTTACCATTCTTGCACACTTTCTTCGGTGTTCGGAGATTGCAGTTGCAATAAACTTCATAATTTTAGGAGCATTCTTCTGATATCATATTGATGTCGGGGAGGCAAATTGCAAACGATGAGAATTTATAAATTGGTGAGAATGGAGAATGCATTGGAAAATTTGAGGCCTCAAGTTAAATTTATAGCCTCCAAGGCCTTGGAACTAGTCATTGCTATGGTGTTTTGGATTTGAATATTGAGGTAGTTGAAACTAGCTGTTGCTACAGTGTTTTTGTTTTGAATACTAAACTAGCTGTTGCTATAGTGTTGATCCCCAAAAAATTTCATTCTGAACCAAACTAGATATTAGGAATTGGAGGGTTTCTATAAAAATGAGATTCTATTTTTTCATGGGGTGAAGCAAACATAGAATGCAAAAAAATGGGTTCCATAAAACTACAAACTTGTCTTAAATTTTTTTTATGGAATAGGTAGGAATCCATAAAAAAAAACTGATTCCTAATCCTATTCTTGTTTATTTGTGAAACAAACAGCCCCTAAGAGTAAGTGTTAATAGTTTATTATTCATTGAACAAATATGAAAGTTAAAGTAGATTATCATCATTTCTTGGTATATTATTCATTGAACAAATATGAAAGTTAAAGTAGATTATCATCATTTCTCGGTACCGTACCATTACTGGATTCTGTTTACTTTGGGACAGTGAGTGGACATTTTCCTTATTATAGAAGTAGAATATACAACACTTACTTCTCTCATATATCTTGATTGTTTGCATCTTTATATTTAGATGAAGCTAGAATCCTGATTTTTTCTTGTCAAAGAACGCTATTGAATATTATTGTATATGAGAGTATATAATGTTTAAGTGTCTATATTTGCAGAGGAAGAGATGATGCATGCCCAGGACCCAAATCTAAAGCATGTCGTGAAAAGATGCGGCGAGAGAGATTGAATGATAGGTTCATTAACAAACTTCAATGATCAATTTATTTGAGAGACATTCAAAAGCCGCCACAAGTCCTTTCTTATAGATATTGTTTGCTGCATTTTCCCAATACTTACAGGTTCTTGCAATTGAGTTCTGTTCTTGATCCTGATAGGCCTCCAAGGTCTGATAAAGTAAGTATTTTAGGTGATGCTGCTCGCCTGCTGATGCAGTTGAAAACTGAAGCAGAGCAGCTAAAGGAATCAAATGAAAAGCTGGAAGAGACTATTAAAGAACTGAAGGTCTGAACTTGATGTCATCCAGTTACTTTTGCTTTTTAGGCATACTATCTTCTTTCTTGATAAGCAATTATACTTTCTAGGCTTACTATCAAATTCTTTTGCTTTTTAGGCATACTATCTTCTTTCTTGATAAGCAATTATACTTTCTAGGCTTACTATCAAATTCTCACATAGTTACATAGATCAAGTTACTTTCTTGATAAGCAATTATACTTTCTAGGCTTACTATCAAATTCTCACATAGTTACATAGATCAAGTTACTTATTCTGAGGCAGTACGTATCAGTTTAGTTTTTGTTATTGTGAATGAAATTGAATTGGCCTAACTGCCAGTAGCAAGTTGATTTCCAGAGAGATCAAGAGGTCTAATGCTATCTAATATGTGAAATGCTATAGATCCATGCATCCTTGATTCCATTATGTGTACTTGTTACTCTCCTTCTGAAGCTTCAGTCAAACCTAATGGAATATTTTTGTGAACCAAGTGTGTGTTGTTTTAAGGTTTTAACGTCTTATAACCCATAGAAAGTACTATATTTATGTTAGACAAATTATCTGCTGATTGAGATTGTTTGATCATGTATAATGAATTTCGCTAAACGCACAAGTTAGGAGAATTGACAAGATTGTAGCTAATAAGGCAAAGAGAAAAAGGCTTAAAAAAGCTTTGTTGGATTTTTAAGAGAAATGAACAGAAGAATAAGATCACATATCCAAACCCAAAATTTGGGATAAAGGCTTTCATGGTGGTGGTGTTGTAGATAATTCTGCTCATTGTTAGGAGTTTGAAAAAATTGTTTGTTTTTTTTGTTTATGGTTTTCTCATGTATGTAGTATGCTACATCAGGTGGAGAAAAACGAACTTAGAGATGAGAAGACGAAGCTGAAGGCAGATAAGGAGAGATTAGAGCAACAATTGAAGGCCATGAGTCCACCTCCACCAGCATTCATGCCACATCCGATGGCTCTGCACCCCGCTGCAGCTTCAGCAAATGCTGCATTTGTTGCTCAGCAGCCTCAAGCATCATCGAAGGCAGCCGCGCCCTATAATGCTTTCCCCAGAATGACTATGTGGCAATGGTTACCTCCTACAGTTCTGGACACAACTCAAGATACAAAGCTCTGGTCACCAAACGCTTAGGCATTTGCAAGCAATAGCCATCATATAATTTTTTTTGCCGATCCTTGGTCATGTTAGCAAGGTAAATTCCCTGGCATGTTGTATAACAACAGTTGACATTGTAACCATCTGCACCTATTTTTCAAGATTTCTCCTGTTTATTGGTTTTACTAGCTATTGTGTAAACGGCTTTTATGTTTCACTACGAAGAGCTTGGTGTTACGTATATTTAGAACAACCGTCAGCTGTATAGATAAAAGCTAGAGCTTCCACGAACATCTGTATTAACGGTAATGAGGTGGTTCTATCGCTCGAAAATTTCTTTGGTGCCTTCCACATTTTCATTAATACATCATTCAAGAATTGAGGTTTAGCTGAAATTGATATTTGTCTAATTTGAGGTATATTTGGATTGATTTGTCATGTAATATGTCCAACTTATAGTTTCATTCAATGTTAACCTTAATGTTTGTGCAGCGGTTGAGCAGCAGGTACCGCCTATAGTCTGCTTATCTTGTTAGATGCTGCTAGTGTGTATACTTCAAACCTGAGGAAATTGTAAGGTATGATAATCTTTCAAGTTCTTGCTATGTCTCTAATGTGTGTTTGTGCACAAAAGTAAATAGTGTTCATGCTAAAATAGCCATAAATACCTCAAGCCTCGAAACACAATCTCATGAACCTCAGGAGATTATATATAATTATATATTGTGAAGTGCCAAAGCAGTTTACCTCCAAATAGAGCTCATTTGCTGTTTCATTAGACTGACCTTTGGGAACCAGTTCTTTTCTTTGTTGTCTACCCCCAAGCAAGGCATCTCATTCGTTGCTCTCCCTTTCGGAGAATTCTACCATGCCCTTTATCCCTCTCATAAATCTTCATTTATTCAAAAGAAATTCATGGGGATCATGAAGCATCTCTCAACCTTGGGTGTCAAGGGAAGCCGACACTTTACATCAAAATTGAACCTCACACTTGAACCCATCCTCTTATAATACCGAACCTCACTGCATTATTCACTATCACTAATCCTAAACTAAAACTTGTGATCATGGAGACCAGATGCATTTTGCTTCAAGTATTTTCAATCACAATGATGTCGTTCTCTCTTGCGTTTGCTCAGAGAGATGATGGTATCTTATGTGTTAGCAAATGTGATACATGTCCGGTTATCTGTTCAGAATCACCACCTCCGCCGTCGCCTTCTCAGATTTATATAATACCCGACTCTCCTTCACCACTGTCACCGCCATTGGAAAATTATCGCACACCCCCTCCCTCATCAAAAAATTATTCTCCTCCACCACCACCACCACCAACATTGCAATCGAAAAATTACCCTCCTCCGCCAAAACCTTCGGAGAGTAATCATCCACCGCCATCACCACCATTGTTGACGCCGCCTAAAAGTTCGGGTGGAGGGGGGAGGCCCAAAGGGGGTCTCTCTTCTCCTTACTACATTTTCTACACTGCAGGAGCACCGCAATTGGTTTTTAGTTTGGGTTTGGGGTTGTTTATGTTCGTACTTTGTTTTGTTAGTTTGGTGTGAGGGGGCATCATGTCTCCTTTCTATTGATTATATAGATTGAATGTTGAAAATGGTTATGTATAGTTTGATGTAGTATTGATTGTTGGTAATTGGTGATTGGTGAGAAATTCAGATAAATATCGGTGCAGAATTTAATTTCTTTGCAAATTGTGTGGTTTACTCCTGTTTCATAGCTATTTGCTCATGCTAAAAAAATGTAGATCGCAATTTTTTTGCTACGAAGTATTTAATTTAAGGTCGTTAGACTAAAAAGAAATATGATATAAACTAATGTTATTTTTGCAAATCTCATTGATTGACCTATGAAAGTGAAGCCGTGAAGGCAACAAGTGCTACTAGTGTTTCATTTCTATACGAACAAAAGACTCATGACCTATAATGATATAAAATAAGAGAAAGTATATGTTACCTTAATTATTTATCTCTGAATAAATAATTAATTCAACCAAATCGATCAAGCCATTGACTTTCTGTACGCAATAGTTCTTTAATAATATTTTAATTTCTATTGATTTCTAATCTTCCAGAAGAAATAAACATGTGTATGAATGGATTTGTTTTTTGAAAAATTGTGTCTAAGCCCCATATTTAAAACTCTCATGTGACCAAGTCCATTGACTTTTTGGTCATGTGTTTTGGTCCATTGACCTAAGTTCTCATATGAAAACACCTATTTTTAGCTTTTATCCCCAAAATACACTCACCCTTAGCCTCTCATCTCTTTTTATTATAAACCTACGAATTATTTTCCTCATTCTTATTCTCCTCAACATTATCTCTTTCACCACCATCTCCACCATTGCATCATCCTTCTCTTCTTTCTCATTATTTTCAACTATTATCATTTTCATTGCCACCATAACTTCTTTGTCATTTCATCTTTTCTCAACCATCTCTCATCTTCCTTCTCCCACATCACCACCGCATCACCCAAAAATTGTCTCCTTTGACCGAAATGGTCATATTTTAATGTCACGTCGAAGTTAATACTTAATAGACAAAGTTAATATATAAAACTTACAATTACGTTCTAACAATTAAAGGTAACACGTGAGGTCTAAAGTTAATACCTGACAATTTTAAAACTTTTATACTGATTTCAATAGTTAGACGTTAACTTTATGCCTTATATGTTAACCTTAAACCTCACGTGTTATAAACTTTCATTATTAGATGTTAACTTTAGACCTCATGTCAATTTTAATTATTAGACGTTTACGATAAGATTAGATGTTAACTTTACCTAATAAATATTAACTTTGATGTGACTTTAGAAAATAATTATTTTATTCAAGGAATACAGCTTTAAGAGATGAGGTAAAGATTATGAAAGAATGAGGAAATAGAAACAGAGAGAGAAAGAGAATGGTAAAAATAAAATGAAAGAGGAGGGAGGGGGTTAAATGTGAATGGAGATGGGTTAAAGGAGAGAAGGAGGCGGCGGATGAGCAGATGTGGAAGGATGGGCCGGGGAGGCAAAAAAAAAAAAAGGAATGATGATGGAGTAAGAATAGATGAAAGAGAAGCGAGGAGAATAAAGTTAGATGAAGAAGTAAAAAGGAAGGAGGGTGAGCGGGAAAAAAAGAGGAAAGTGGGGTGGAATGGAGAAGGGAGGAGGATGGTGGTAGGGAAGAAAAAGAGGAAGAGAGGAGGTAGAATGGAGAAAGAGTGAGAATACAAGAGGAGGAAGGATGAGAGGAGGAAGAAAATAATGGGTATTTTAGAGATGTGAGAAAAATATGAGTTGAAAAGGGGTTTTTCACATTAGAATTTGGGTCGAAGGGCCTAAACACAAGGCCAAAAAGTTAATGGGCTTGATCACGTAAGGGTTGTTAATTTGGGGCATAGACACAATTTTTTTCATTTTCTTTTTTTTTCAAATTTAGTTTCATGATGCCTTGTATCTAAAAAAAAATACACCACGTCATGAAAATAGAGTAAAGGCAAAATGGGACACTAGTTGGATGTGGAATTTTACACCGATGTCCACTACTGCATCATCAAAGTGATGCACGCAGAGGGCTTTTGTCAAATTGCGCAGTTGCGTGACTGCCTATCAAACGCAACTGTTAGTGCAAAACAGTTGGGCAATCAAAAACTAATTAAACTGTATTTGCTACAACTCTTATATGATTAACCATAGTAGTTAAGAAATCCCCTTCATTTATGGCCATAATTTTGAGAAATTCATCATCTTAAAGGTTGAGCTGAAAGTCTCTCATCTATAATCATCAATGAAACTGTTAATTTTATAACGGAGTTTGGTCCTTCAAAAATATGGATAGACGTCTAGATACATGTGTATGTTTCAAAATTAGCGGAAGTCGGAATCTTCAAACTTTCTTCTTAAAGATTTTATAAAAATCGAAAATTTAGTCCCATGCACGTCTGCACAGAGGCGGAGGCACTTGTTAGAGGCAAATGACACCACCCTCTTAGGTACCGTTTGGCAAAGGGTTAAGTGAGGGGTTAAGGAGACTTAACCTCTTCTTAACCTGCCAAACACAACAAATCTATATAAGGGTTAAAGTGAGTAAACCCTCCATAATTTGCCAAACATAAAAAATATAGAAGGGTTAAGTTAACCCCTCTAGAGGGGTTAAAATGAGTTAACCCCTCAAAATGAGGGGTTTACTAATACTCCTATTTAGATAGAATAAGAGTTAACCCTTCTAATTATAAAGAAAATAGTCAAAATCATTGTTATTCCCAAACACTAAAACTGATCATAAGGGCTAAAATAAAACTTATTTAACGGGTTAATAATTTAGTCCTTCGGATTATCAAATGGGCTAAGTACATTAATCCTTCTCTCTAACCCTTCTTCATTAACCCTTTGCCAAACGGGGCCTTAGGTAAAAAAGCAAAGTAATATATACTAGATTATCATCAAATAGTGATAGCGTTATAAAAGTAATTATTGAGCAATGGCCCATTGATAAATGTTGTGTGTCTAATTAATATATATTTAAGAAATATTGTGTATCCAATTACAACAGATTGCATGTAGAGATAGTTTTGTGCAATGACAATTGTAAGGAATTTGTGAAATCAAATGGGAGATTAGTGGATGAACGACTGTTTAGTAATTTTTATTGAAAGTGAGTGTATTTAGTGGTTTTTCGAATAAGGCTGTAATGCAACAATCTCAAAACATATATTTAGTTAAATATATCTTTCATATCTCATTAAATTTCCAGTTATATGCGGATTAAGCATTAATAAATCTACTGCGGATGCACTATATGTGCGTGGAATCTTTGTGGATTGTTCATTTTAGGTTCTTTCTTGCAAAATAATTAAGAACAATGCATAACTATACCAATTAGTCTGGCCGCCGTGATTATCATCCTAATAAGTAATATCTGTTTTTAATTAACTCTAAAGATGTCTCAATCTCTTATAGATATAACTTCCAACCATGAAGAGAAGGAAATATAGAAGCAAAGATAGATTATGACGGATTAAAATTATTCATTGAATCGTATCTTATACACTTGGCCTGGAAAAAAAAATAAGAACCCTAAT